CCGGGCGCCCGCCTCCCCCCCCCAGGCCAGCCCCCGGCCGCCATCCATTGGCCGCGCGTACCGCCAATCACACGCATGTAAACACCTTGGCCCTCAGCCATTCCTATAAAACCAATTACGGACCTAGGGGCTCCAGCAGTTTCCAGGCTCCCCACGGCGGGGCTGAATGATCAAAACTGGTGGTGAGAATTTTTCCCGGCCGTTTCTAGGCAGCCCTCCCCCTCCACCAGCTCGAACCCCCCCCTTCCTCCCTCTCCTCCCTCTTCCTACCCCCTCCCCCGGCGTCTAGGCTGAGTGATCAAAATAGAGGAAGATGGTTGTCGCCGCAATCCAGGGCTTTGCAAGGCGCGGTTTAATGGGCCGCCTGTCAGCTTCCTGCTCGCAGGAGGAGGTGACAAGCCCAGCGAGCCGGGAAGGGTCTGGGGCCCGGCGGGCAGCACCCCGCGCCCGGGCCCCGGCCCCCTACCTCCCCTGGGGCGCGCCTTCTAGAATGCGCGGTGGAGACGCCAAAACAGACAAGGGCTGCTTTTTCCCTTTTTTACTCCCCCTTTTAAAACAAAGCAGCGATTCATTCCTTTTCCCCCAGCAGCGCGGTTGGGTGGGATGGGCAGGCGTGAAGGCCGTTTTCCTAGCCCCGGCCTGCGGGTCCCTCCCTGAAACCCTGTGTCAGATGGTTACTGATTAATATTTTGGAGAGGCCGCGGCGGCGGGTAGCGGGTGAGTCTCTAATCTTCTAAAAGGGGTTCCTATAGAAACGCGGGCCAGGGCGCACCCCCCGCTCGGCCCCGGCCGGGGCTGTGGCGCTTTGCACCGCGCGCCCTTCCCCAAAGCCTTTCTTTGCGTGGGCTCTCCCCACCCCTCCCCCCCCAAAAAAAATCAGAGCAGAAAAAAGGATTAGATCGGCTGAGCGCGAACTGACTCCCTCTCGATTCTGACATTTCAGCCTATTAGCATTTCTCCACGGGGCCTTCTGAAACCTATTAAAGTGTAATATTAAAAACCTCTTGGCTGGGGGCCTCTCTCGCCTTCCATCCGCCGCGCCCCCTCCAGGGAGGGCGAGACCGGGAAAAAAAAAAAAAAAAATCTGTTGAGCTCAGAGGAAGCAGAAGCCAAGCCCAAAAAGTGCTTGGCTGGCCGCGGCGGCTAAAGGGGGAGGGGAGCACCAATCCCCCAGACTTTGTACTTTTATTTTGCGCTTTCAGCAAAATCCTTTCTGAGTGGAGTCGCCGGGAGCTGCCCGCGGCAACCTACTTGGCTGCGGGCGCAAGGACTGCGGACGCGGTCGGAGGGGCCGCCCTGGGGGCCCCGCACCCTCTCTCTGCAGCCCCGCAGGGACCCATGCCCGGCTGGGCATTACGTACCCTCAAATGGAAGCTTGGAGGGGCAGAAATCCTTGCCGATCCTGCCTCGGAGAGCAACCGCGGTGATTAGATTTTAATTAAAACAAGAGAAGCCCGCTCTTTCGCCCTGCGCTGCGGACTCAGCGTTTTCGCATCGCTGGGTTTTTTTTTTTTTTTTTTAATCCATTTTTAAGCAACTTTTCTGGAGGGGGGGAAATGAGCTAGTTGGCGCCCGTCCGTTCTATTTTCTTTTCTCCACTTTTAGAAGAAAACGGACGGGGAGGGGTAGGCTTGGAGAAAGCGAACTGGGGGTGTCTAATTTAATTCCAGTATAAATTTGAGGAAAAAAGTTCAGCCTCTTGAGGGCAGTTTCAAGTTGCCCTGCAGGAGCCTCTGCGCTGGTTTCGAGGCTGCCCTCTTTTGGAAGCTGGAGCTCCGCAGGGGGAGGAGGGAGGAGTGAGAAGTAAAGAAAGGAACGAAAATAGCCGGAGCCGAGGGGAACAGCGGCGGTGTCCGCGCGAAGGTCTCAGTGGCGGCCGGGGCGGCGGGAGGTTCCCGGTGCGGCCCCGGAACGGCCAGGAGCAAAGACGGAGAGGAGAGGGGGGTTAGAGAAAGGAGGTATTGTGTCTTGTGTGCCTTGGGGGAGGGGGTTGACTGCAGAAATAAATGCATTTGAGCTGCGCGGGGCTGCTAGAAGCCAAGGCAGGGGGAAGGGGCTGTGCGTGGGGGCGCAGCCCGGGTAGGCGCCTAGCATCCTTGAACCTTATCCGAAAGCCTTTGTGGGTCCCTAATAAGCCCTCCCACGCCTGAGCCCCCATCGTTTGCCCACCCCCCTGGTTGCCCTCCAGTATTCGGAGCCCAGCCCTTGATCCCCACCCCATTATCCCCGCCCTTGATCTGGAATGTTTTGTTTTGTTTTAATCTTCGTATAGCTCAAGCAAAATATATCTTGAGAAAGTTGAGGTGGGGAATACAAAGGACTTGAGGGGCGGAAAAAAACAAAGCCGATTTTTATAAATGTTTAATGTTTTCACCCCTGGATGCTCCAAGACGCCGTAATTGTGATGGCGGGGTATGTGTGCCATAAATCATTTAGTTGCTAATAAAAATTCTGCCTGTTTGCCCTGCATTTGCCAATGGCGTTTGCATTTTCCAAGTATGTGCCTTTCTCTGCGTGGCGATCCGAGCCTGCATTTCATTAGGGTCGAGGTTCGGGGCAGGCGAGACCCCCCCCCCTCCGCCTGCCCCCTCCTCCTGGGCCTTTGTGGGCCCCAGCCCCCTCGCGCCGCCCTCCCGGCACACACTCACACCCGCGGCCGCGCGGGTCGCCTCCGGAGCCCGGCCGGGCGCCGGGCCTGGGGACACGGAGGCAGCTGCTCCCGGGTCCTGGCCGCGGGGTGCGCAGGACGGCCTGCCAGCGCCGGCTCTCCGAGCGCGGCGTTCGTGGGGGCGCAGCGGGCCCCGCCGAGGAGCCGCCCGCCCCGGCCGATCGGTGCGCGCCCTAGTCTTTGCCGCCCCCCTCGCCCCCGCCCGCCGGGCCCCGCGCCCCGGCGCCCCCGCAGTCGCTGGGTAAACAGCGGCCGGGAGCCATCTTGGGGCGGGGGGGGGGGGTGGGGACGGATCCCAGGCCGAGTGGTGGGCGCAGCCGGGCTCCTTCGCAGACCCCCGCCGCCGGTCGTCGGGCACCTCTGGGGAATCCCTTGCCAAGCTTCGGGGTCTGCGGAAGCACCCTGCCCGCTCCGGCGGACCACACTGAGACGTCAAAGCCCGGCCGGGCACCCTGCGCGGGGCGGGTAGGAGGCGCCCGGTCCGCGGTCCGCCCGGGTCTGGCCGCCATCTTCCGCCTCCCCCTTCTCCCCCCACCCCCCCGCCACATACTTGTGTTTACCCGGCGGGATCCTTGGCCAAAAAGTGTGTTGACGCAGTGTGTGTGTGTGTGCGTGTGTGTGTTTTGTACTGACTGGGCGGAAAATCGGCTGGAGGGGGGACCTCCTCGCAACTTGAACCTCAGTTCCCGGAGAGCCGGCCCAGGCCCGCGCTCTTGTCCACGGCCAGCCTGGGCCGCCGGAGCCGAGGCCTTTTGTGTGTTCTAGGCCTCCGGCTCCGTGCACGAGGCCCCACTGACAAAATTATTCCCCTTTGTTTTAAAACCAAAGGACAGGCCAACTTTTGAGTCCGGTTCTCCTCGGCCGCGCCTTTGTCGTGGAGGCACAGCCCCGCGCCTTGGTCAACTCTGTTCTTTTCAGGGCTGAACCCGACTCTTTCTGGAACCCTGGTGTTGCTGGCCGCCTGAATACATTCTCCCCTTACCCTTCCCGGGAAGAAAATGGGCATCCTTCCGTAGGCGAAGACATATGAGCCACCACCACCCGTGTCCCCAAACCGCCTTCCCGGTGGGGACCTCAGTTCCCTCGCTGTGCCAGCTTCTTGGTGAAAGGGACCTCGAGCGTTCGCCGGCCTCTGCCACCGGCTCGGGAAGCCCTGGCCGGATCTGGGGCTTAAAAGCGCCAGTTTTCCAGGTCCCGGGTCTGGCAACCAGGGAGCTCCCGGCCCGGGCACCGCGAAAACCCGGAGAGGCTGCGCCCGGGACATCCGTTCTCGCCATCCCTCTGGTGCTGCGACTGGCTCAGCCACGATTCGGCGCCGAGCCGAGGTTCAGCCAGCCCAGCCAAGAGGGGTCCCGACCCTCCAGGAAGACCAAGGACGCGGCGCCCAAGCCCGAACGCGGCAGGGACAAGAGCGCTGGGTGGGCAGAGCCAGGGCGGAAGCAGCAGGCTCGGCCCGGAGGATCCCGGCGCGTCTCGGCTCCGCCTCCGGCCCTGGCCGCTTTCCCCGGCCCGGGTCGGGTCTTCCATTCCACTGTTTGTCTCGGAGAGGTCGGAGACGTGCTCGGTGCACAGGGGGCCGGATACGGCCATAAATTTTCATGCGGGACCTCCTTCCCGTCGCTCACACGCCGCTGCTCCCGGCCGCCCTGGCATCCCGGGCCGCACTGGGCGCCCTGCTTTCCCCGCCATGGCCTGGGGTTTCCTGGAGCGGCGCGGGGAGTCAAGGCCGGAGCGTCCCCATTCGCCAAAGAGAGGGAACAGCCTCGCCCCGTTCTGTGCCACCGCCTTCCATCCCCGCGGTTGCTGGACCCCTGAGGCTGCCCGGGCCTCACTGGATCTCCGCCTGGGGTAGGGGTACCGGGGCCAGGCACTTACTCCTAGGAAGGTTCGTTGAGGCTGGAATGGGCACACGGCCACCTGCTTGAGCCCAACTCCCGCACCGTTAAGGGGTGACGCCAGGGTTAGGATCAGAGTGCCTTTGCAGATCTCAGCCAGCTGCTCCTCTCCGAAGACCCTGCTTTAATCCCACGCCATCGTTCTGCCCTCAAGAGTCCTCTGCAGGCGCACGATATAGGGGAGGTGGGCTTGTGTGTGTGTGTGTGTGTGTGTGTGTGTGCATGCGGGATGAGGACCAAGCAGGGTGTCTGCGGTAGCCGGGCCCGGAGGGGGGCTCGTGTACCTCCCCACCCCGCGCCAGCCCATTTCTCCCTTTATGCCAGGGATACCCTGGACTTTTCGCCTCCCAGTCGGCACCCCTATCCGCCACCAGCTTTGGCGTTTATAGCCGAACCATCGGGAAAGCAGGAATTGGTGGAGCGCTGGTGGCAGCCTGGTAGGGGTGGTGGTCTTTCTACCTGAGCAGTCGCGGAGCACCCGGAGGGCAGACCCAGAGAAGGTGAATTTACGATAATAACTCTTAATGTCACCAGCATTGTTTGTCTCTTTGCCAGAGGGGCGGGGAACAAGCCTTCTGGCGGGTACCTCGCATCAGCCGAGCAGAGCAGGCCGCGCGCCAGATCGGGGACAATCACCTCCAAATGGTCTTTGCTCTTTGCTCGGGACTTCGGTGGGGACAGCCAAGAAAGGGGGAGGCCTTCACCCCCTCGTAGGCACCTCCCCCTCACCGTGCCAGTGACACAACTGCAACGGCCCCGGGGCAGATGCCGGAGGTGGAAGGTTTGGAAACCTCGGCCCGAAACGATCGTACTGTGGGAGCTTCGCTCCTTCCTAGAATTTCTAGAAGCACATTCGGAAGGATCGCGAGGGCTTCGGCAGGGCCCAGAGGAATGCGAGCGCTCGCCCCGCCGCCCGGGAGCGGATGAGGCTGCCCAGCCGCATTCCGGCCGTGCCTCCCCGCCTCGGCCCCGGCCCCCGCCGCGGCGCCCCAGGAAGCGTCTCCGAAAACAAAGCTCTGCGGTTTCAGCCCAAGGTTAAAGTCCACCACGAGCGTGTTTTTCCCCCCTCCGGAATCCGAGAGCGATAGCGTTTCTCCAAATAAACCGCCAATAAATCAGCTCCCGGGGCCGCCTGCTGAAGAGCTCTGCTGACCTTGGGGAGTGGTTTTCCTGCTCAGACCCCTCCGAGGACAGCGGTGGGGAGAGGGCCGCGGGGCCAGCCGCGCCCCCCCCCCCCCACTCCAGAGAGAGGCGGAAGAGGGATGGCCAAGGGCATTTGTGGGCGGTTATTGTGGTACTTGTGTGCTCAGAGGGTAGGGGGAAGGTTTGGAATTGGGGGGCGGTGGTTATCTGGGGGGGCTGGAAGCGCCTGGTTGGCAGGGGTTATTGTGGGTGCTGGTTGCTTTGGGGGAGGCTGACCGCCTGCCCATTAATTGCATGGGCGCCCACACTGTTTTAGGCACTGTTCTAGGATGAACAAGGCATCTTTGGGGGCCTCCTTTGTCTGGGTGTGCCTGGGTGTAGTCTGCAGGCAAGTTTGTGCGGGTGTGACTAATGGATTTATGTATGTCAGTGCCAGGGTGACTAATGGAGGGCTTGGCAGCGCGTGTGGAGGGGAGTCAGAGCCCTGGGGGGGGGGGGCTTCCTCCTGCCTGGTCTTTAGGGGTTCACTTCGGTTGCCAGTCTCCAGCTGTGTTTGGGCCTCTGAAGCCCGCCCCGGGCACCTCCACGGCGGGCCTGTGTGCGTCCACATCTCAGGAGCAAATTTCCACCGCAGCCCTGACCCCAGAGGTACCTCTGTCCCCTCCTGCTACCCTGACCCGCTCTGCCCCTGCAGACCCAGGCCCGCCCATCCCCTTCCGTGGCAGAAAACTCCCAGTTTGCTTCTTTTCCAATTTGGAGATTTCTTTTGATGCAAACTGGCCCCTGCATCATGCCAGCTTTGACAGCCCCTCTGACTTTGGTACCGTAGTGCCCATTTAACAGATGAGAACCCCAAGGAGTAGGGACGAGCTCCCACGGCTAAGAAGTGGCAGCCATCTAAGCCAGGCAAGGAGATGGGATACAAATGGGGGGCCCCAGGCCTGACTGACCAGCTACGAGAACAGAGAACCAAGGGAACCACGCTAAGCCATCCTGCTGCCCCCTTTACAGCCCTTCCTCATCAATCCCCCAGGGGCGGGCGACAGAGGTCAGAGGTCGGTGGGAGTCCTTTTGACCTGGGGTAGGGAGCACATTCCACATTCCAGGGTTGGAGGGGGCCGGGTCGGGAGTTCAGGAGAGCCGGCCGGCCGTGGGTGCCCCATACCTGCTGTAGGTTCTGGCTCAGGACGTACCTGGAGAATCATTCCCATCTCCCTTGGAGTCTTCTGGTTTCTGACACACACATACACACCCCCAATCTCTGAGTGCTCCAATAGGTGTTCTTGCTGCTGCTCGCACACGCCATCTGTCCTCTGCGTCTGTGCCCGGGTCAGAGACACACTAGTCCAAAGGGTCCCTGCAACCCAGAGATATGGGGTGATCTTCCTAAGGTCACCCAGTCTGGGTAGCAACAAGCAAGCCAAACAGGTTTCTGCCCAGCTCTCGGCCTTCCGTGCTCCTCACTGGTGCTCCATGACCCTTGGTGGCATCTCCAGGGAGGGGACGGCAGCACCTTCTTCCCAGGTCTCCTGGGAGTGGCTCCCAGGACCTCTATCTCTGTTTTTTTTTTACACGCACTTGCGTACACACACACACACACACACACACACACACACACACACTGGGTCTCTCTTCACCTCCCTCCTCCCTTTTTTTTTTTTTTTTATTCTTCTTTGGCATTTTCTTTCAAGCAGAAAATAAAAACATTTCCCATGGCTACAGCTTTGAAAGCTTCCCTCTCCTCTCTGCCTTTCTCTCGCCCCCACCCCCATGTGGATCCATTTCTAGAGTCAGCATAAAGTCGAAAACAAACCCTGAAGATCAAACTTGACAGGCGCCCCCTTCCTGCCTCTCTCCACTTTCTCCGCGTGTCTTGGCCTGTCTCCACCCTGGAGATGAGTGGGAGGCAGCACCCAACACACACGCGTGCACTCCCACACCTTCTGTGGCCACAGGGAGTCTCTTAAGAATCTTCTAGAGCCACCCCTGCCAGAAAGGCCTGCTCACTCAGTTCCTTCTGCCGGAAGTTCCTGGTGCTCCCTCACACTCCCCTTTCCAGCCCTGCTTACCTGGCCAGGCTCCATCCAGCCTTCCTGTTGGGGGCCATCTGCTGTGGGTTGATTACCCCCCAAATTCCTATGTTCGGGTCCTAGCCCCAGTACCTCAAAGCGTGACCTTGTTTGGAAACAGTGTCCTTGCAGATATAAGTGGTTAAGGTGAGGTCATCCTAGAGGAGGGTGGGCCCCTAACCCAGTATTCCCCGGGCCCTTATATAAAGGAGTTGCAGACAGATACAGAGGGAAGGCTAAAAAGACAAGAGACGGCCGGCCATCCGTGAGACGAAGGGAGAGGCCTGAACCAGACGCCCTCACAGTCCCTCAAGGAAGCCACTCTGCCCACACCTTGACCTTGGGCTTCTGGCCTCCAGGACTGAGAGACCGTGAATTTCGGTTGTTTCAGCCACCCACGTTGTGGTCCTTTGTCGCGGCGGCCCCAGCGCACTTATACGCCATCCCACGTTTAAGTGCCCACAGGAGTCAGGCAGGAAAGAAATGAGCAAAAGTCAGAGAGCATCTAGAGAGGGCAATCTGTCACAGTCCCGGCCAGTGGTCCCCAAGGGTACCAGATCTTCCGCGGTTTGGGGCAAGCCCGTGTGTCCGTTAGAACGAGGTAGGTTATCCCGCAGTGACAAAAATCACCACCATCTCAAAGGCTGAGCGCAATGCATACAAATCTATTCTCCTTGACGGGTTGTTTGCTCTGAGCCTAGGCGATGCTCCAGGGCAGCTGACCTCCATGTGGCCCCCAAGCACTTAGATTCAATTCACCTCGATCTGAGACCATCACAGGGAAGGGAGGGTCACCGCACTGGGGTTTTATTGCCAGAGCCCAGAAATGTTACACGCTGCTTCCCACCCACGTGACCACACCCAACTCAATGGTGCTGGAAGGTGGCTCCCCCCCCCCCCCCCCCAACCCCCGCCACCATCCCCCGCGCCCAGGAAGGAGAGGAAAACCAAAGACGGGTGAGCACAGGTGATGTCCACCACAGCTGGAACGGGACATCTCCCTATCTGTTAACTTTTTTTTTTAAGATTTTATTTTGGGGGCGCCTGGGTGGCTCCGTTGGTTAGGCGTCCAACTTTGGCTCGGGTCATAAGCTTGCAGTTCCTGAGTTCAAGACCCGCCTCAGGTTCTGTGCTGACAGCTCAGAGCCTGGAGCCTGCTTTGGAGTCTGTATCTCCCTCTCTCTCTGCCCCCTCACTCCTACTCTGTCTTTCTCTCTCTCAAACTAATAAATACACAAAACTGGTGGTTAAATATACACGACATGAAGTTTGCCACCTTAACGATTTATGAGTGCAGAGCTCGGTGGCATTAAGTCCATTCCCATGCCGCCACCATCCATCGCTGCAACTTTTTCTTTTTTTTTTTTTTTAATTTTTTTTTTCAACGTTTATTTATTTTTGGGACAGAGAGAGACAGAGCATGAATGGGGGAGGGGCAGAGAGGGAGGGAGACACAGAATCGGAAACAGGCTCCAGGCTCTGAGCCATCAGCCCAGAGCCTGACGCGGGGCTCGAACTCCTGGACCGCGAGATCGTGACCTGGCTGAAGTCGGACGCTTAACCGACTGCGCCACCCAGGCGCCCCCTGCCTTCCTTTTTAAGGCCGAATAATATCCCCATTGTACGGCTAGGACCACATTTTGTGTATCCGTTCATCTGCGGATGGACGCGTGGGTTCCACCTTTTGGCTCCTGCGAACAGTGCTGCTGCAAACAAATTTGTCTTCGAGTCCCCGCTTCTAGTTCTTTGGGGTGTAAACCCAGAAAAGGAATTACGGATCATGAGGTATGTTTATGTTTGCTATTTAGAGGAACCTCCGTACCGTTTTCCATAGCAAACGCACCGTCTTACGTTCCCACCGACAACGCACAGGGTTCCGAGTTCTTCGCGTCCTCGCCAGCGCTTGTCGTCGTATATGCAGGTTGTGTTTTTTGGTTTTTAACTCGCCATCCTAACAGGTGTGCGGTGGTATCTCACCGTGGTTTGGATTGGCATTTCCCTAATGATTACGGGTGGTGAGCATCGTTTTGTGCGCTCATTAGCCATTTGTAGATCTTCAGAGGAATGTCCGTGCAAGTTTGCCTGTTTTTAATGTTTTGTTTTGTTTTTTTAAAGTTTATTAATTTCGATGGGGCGCCTGGGTGGCGCAGTCGGTTAAGCGTCCGACTTCAGCCAGGTCGCGATCTCGCGGTCTGTGAGTTCGAGCCCCGCGTCGGGCTCTGGGCTGATGGCTCAGAGCCTGGAGCCTGTTTCCGGTTCTGTGTCTCCCTCTCTCTCTGCTCCTCCCCCGTTCATGCTCTGTCTCTCTCTGTCCCAAAAATAAATAAAACGTTGAAAAAAAAAATTTTTTTTTAAATAAAGTTTATTAATTTCGAGAAAGAGCACGAGCGGGGGAGGAACAGTGGGGGGGGGGGGGGGAGAGAGAATCCCAAGCAGGCTCCATGCTGTCAGCACAGAGCCCGACGCAGGGTTTGAACTCGGGAACCTCGAGATCCTGACCTGAGGGGAAGTCATATGCTCAACCGACTGAGCCACCCAGGCGCCACCCCCGCCCCCACCCCCGTTTCAAATGTTTTTAATCGTTGTTTGCTTTGTTTCTGTCCTTGGCACTGCTGACCCAGGTGGTCTGATTGTCCCAGGCGGTCCCTGCACTTCTAGTGGTTAATGTTTTCCTGGGGCCACACACTCCAGTTTGTTTAACAAGTACTCACCCGGTCAAGTGGGAAACAGGGTGGCCCAGAGTCCTGCCCTCAGGGAGCTCACAGTCCAGGGAGTGGGACAGTTGGTCAGCAAAGAACCGTTAAGTGTGGCGAGCACAGGACAAGGAGGAACAGGGGGCCCCGGAGCAGCACAGGGGTCAGACCAGATAGGGTCTCCGTCTAGAGGAGGAAACAGATGTAAGTACTTGGTACCCAACCTTTTTTTTTTTTTTTTTTTTGATGTTTATTTATTTTTTGAGAGAGGGAGAGAGACAGAGTGTGAGTGGGGAGAGGGGCAGAGAGAGAGAGGGAGACACAGAATCCGAAGCAGGCTCCAGGCTCTGAGCTGTCAGCACAGAGCCCGACGCGGGGCTCGAACTCACAGACCGTGAGATCATGACCTGAGCCCAAGCCAGACAGATGCTTAACAACTGAACCCCCAGGTGCCCAGTATCCGACCATCTTAAATAAAATACTGGGGTCCACAGCTAGAAAGGCCAGAAATAGAACAGCGGCAGGCACGGATGGACCAGGCGCCCCCCCTTTCTCCCTCCCTGCCTCTCCCCTCACTCTCCCCCAACGCCTCCATTTTCCTTCCCTTGCCATTGGCCTCACTCTCTCCTTGGAGCACCGGCTTTGTCTGCGGGGTGGGATATGGCCAACCTCAGATCTGCAGCAAGAAAGAGGCAGTTCCCCAAAGGGATGTGGTGAGAGTTGATAGAAACAGGACTAGAGCCGGGCAGAACGCAGACTGCAGTGCGCCCTCTACCCATCGAGCTCTCCTCCAGGGGTAGGGACGAATCAGACCTGAGGGATGGCCGATGCACAGATTTATCCCGAGGCCTGGCTCCGGAGGCGGACCGTCACCGAAGGTCGCCCCAGCGCTCGCAACGGCCACCGACCCTGTGCTCCTTCTCCTCCCCTTCCCCTCCCCCGGGTTCAAGTCCCGACTCTGCCGCCTACTTGACGAGTGACATTTGCAAAGTCACTTCCCTGTCTCAGCCTCAGTTTGACCCCTCCCCCGCTTTCTCTGTGGCGCTCGACGCCCTGCCCGCACTGGGCCACCGTTCCAGTTCCGGATGATCAAATACCACACTATGGGACACGGGGCCCGGCCTTCCCGAGTGGCCGTTCTGACACGCTATAACCCCTGACAACGGCCACGCAGAGTCTCCCTGCTCCAGCGCGACCCTGACATTCCTCCCATTCCAGGTGCGTGGTCCTCTAACGAGATGCGCGCAAGTGACACCACGTGGCTTCCAAGCGAGGTCAGAAGAGGAGACACCAGGCTCGCGTGGAACCCTGAGCCAGCAGGGGAGAAGCTGGACTGCCCGAGGCCACCACGCACTTAGGAAGCTCCACCCACATGCTGAGGCCCCCAGTAGTCTCTCCAGGGGACAGAAGGCTCTGCCCAGGGCACGCCCACAGCCAGCATCCACTGCCGACACGTGTGAGCAGAAAGGAGCCTCCTCAGAGCTGCGTGAGCGAGGCCTGGGAGCTCCGTGACCGCCCAGGTCACGCGCAGGAGGGGCTGAGCTGGGACTGGAACTCAGTTCTATTTCCCCCCCGCCGCCCGGCCGCCCTCCTTGGTGGGTGCTTGAATGACCACAGAAGAAAACGGTCTGGACTGTGGAGCCAGCCACCCATTTGCGATGTTGGCAAAGCCGCTTCCCTCTCTGAGCCTCAGTTTGCCTGTCTGTGAAATGGGGCTAACGTACTCCTTTCCCAGGATCAGAGGGGGAGGGCGGGTGCATGCCTGTGCTGAGTGTGCAGATGGTGACCGATGCCCTCATCTTTCTGAACACCGGCAGGTGTTCTGATAGCCAAGGGGGCCTGGGAGCCCATGCAGCAGGGTGACCGCCACCTCACTCCCTCCGGAGGCTGGTGATGGCTGGGTACCGAGCAGGTGCTCAGGAAAGGATGGCTTCACAGCTGGGCTGTGGCCAGCCCAGTCCCCAAGCCACTGCCCCGATGCTTCTTGAGCAGGACAGGACCGAAGCCAGCTGCACAGCTCTCCTGTCGCTGTCACGACCAATAGCTACTCACTGGGTGGCTTCAGACACCAGACGCTTATTCTCTTACGGTTCAGGAGTTCAAAATCAAGGTGTCAACAAGGTTGATTCTTTCTTGGGACCTGTGGTGGACAGTCTGCCCCAAGCCTCTCTCCCGCGTCTGGGGGAGACCGGCGCCCCTCGGCCCTCCTGGGCGTGAGTCCGGGTCCCCCCAGCCACTGCTGCCACAGTCACACGGCTGCCTTCCCTCTGGGTCTGTCTTCACGTGGCGTTCTCCTCTTATAAGGACACCAGTCATATTTGATTAAAGGCCTGCCGTGCTCCAGTGGGACCGCATCTAACTGATTACACCTGCAATGACCCTATTTCCAAATAAGGCCACATCCTGAGCTGCCAGAGGTCAGCACTTCCAGACGTCTTCACGGGGCACACGGTTCAGCCCGCAGCACCGACCTTGGGCCCTTGGCCCGCTGCCCCATCCCATCACCAGGACACAAGGGGGGCCGCTCCCTCAGAAGGAGTGGGGTCCTCCAGCGCCCCCAGGAGGCCGAGGGGGAGACTGGGGCTCGTGCTGGAGGGGCAGCGCTGGCAAACCACCCCATCCCCGCGGCACACATTCCCTTCCGGGTGCCCTGACCTGAGGGGTTGCAACCCAGAGCCGCCGTGACTCCAGGGGCCCCCCCCCGAGCGCGGCACGGGGGGCCCAGGCAACCCTCAGCCAGGAGGAGCAACCCTCCTCCTGAGTGTCCCACACTCTGCAAGGGCCCTGGCAGAACAGAGCTGGGACCCCGTTGCCCACGAGGTAGCTGGGCAACAAGACCGGGAGGGCCTTGTCGTGACGCAGACACGGAGGCCCAGGAGGTAGAGGTGACTTGTCCGAGGTTATGTGGCGAAACAGTGATGAGAAGGGTCTTTTTTTTTTTTTAATGTTTATTTTTGAGAGAGAGAGAGAGAGAGACAGAGCGTAAGAGGGGAGGGGCAAAGAGAGAGGGAGGCACAGAATCCGAAGCGGGCTCCAGGCTCCGAGCTGTCAGCACAGAGCCCGATGCGGGGCTCAAAGCCACGAACCCTGAGATCATGACCTGAGCCGAAGTTGGACGCTCAACCGACTGAGCCACCCAGGCGCCCCGAACCCGGATCCTTCTGACCGCGCTGTTTCCTCCCAGGGACCCCTTCCCCCCTCTTACAACTGTCTCCTACTCGTCAGTCACCCCTCGGAGCCTAGAGGCCCGTGTCAGTCTGCTCGGGCTGCTGTGACAAAGGCCGAGCACTCAAGCAACCAGGCATGTATCTCTCACAGCTCTGGAGGCTGAAAGTCCAAGATCAAGGCCTCAGCAGACTCAGTGTTTGGGGAGAATCAGCTTCATGGTTCACAGACGGCTGTTTTCTCACTGTGTGGTCACACGGCCGAAGGGACAAGAGGCCTCTCTGGGGCCTCTTTGTTGAGGACACTAATCCCACTCCTGAGGGCTCCGCCTTCAGGAATGAATCACCTCCCCAAAGCCTCCCCTCCCGATATCATCACGTTGGGGGTTAGGATCCCAACAGATGAACTTCGGGGGACACATTCAGTCCACAACACAGCCCACACCAGAGGCCCCCTGCCTTATCATTCTCCCCGCCACGTTCAACCCAGCAGAGCTCAGCGAACGTGCACCCAATGAACACATGAAGTGACGCAACGTGGGTAGGGTTTTCAAGGATGAATAGAAGTTCGCTAGGCGGAGAAGGCAGAGACAGACATCCCAGGCCCAAAGAATAGCCTGTGTTGAGGTCTAGGGACTTCTCAGCAGGGCCTGCCTGGCTCCCAGGTGTCGTGCTGGGCCCGGGGGAGGGGGAGAGCCAGGCAAGGTCCCCCCATCCCAGGTGACTGGCCTCCCCCTCATGAGCCAAGACCCATCAGCCTCCACAAGGAGCAAGGCCCCAGCACCTCCGCCCACAGGAGCCCAGCCTGGATGAGTTTAGGTGTCTCTTTTCCCCTTCACGCCTGGGTAGGTTGAGTAGTACTTATTCAAACTTGTATTTTATTGGTGTTTTTGTTGAAAGCACAGGAATTATTCATGGCTGGTTTCGGTCCTCTTCTGGCAATGACCGCATCTTTGTACGCAAGGTACAAATTATGTGTCAGTTCGATTCACCGTCAATGGGAGGCCGCCCCCAAGCATCAGGCAACGGAGGCTCCGGTGTCTAGAAGCCAAGCCTGGATGCAGGCAGCAGGGGCCTGAATGGCTCATAGTCCCCAAAGTCACTAAGGACTGGGGACGGGATACAAGCGGATGACCATGGAAAAAATCCCACGTCCGTCCCTTTCCCCCGGGAACATATCGGCCTCAGTCTTCCCATTTGAAAATGGGTATTGACGTGAGTGTTTGGCACACGGAACCATCCATGTCGCTTTCCACATGTGTTGTCACCCTCGCCTGGCCGATGTGACACGCCAGGGCCCTCTTTGAGGCCTAAGGAAGGGGCAGGGGTGCCGAAGGAAATGAGAAATGGAAACAGAAGCGCCAGCGTCAGCTCCTCTGGCCTCCTGGGGGTGGTGATGTGAGAACATGTCCCTGAGAACCTTTGACACCCTCCTGTTGAAAGGCGGGGTTTCCAGGGCGCCTGGGTGGCTCAGTCTGTTGAGCGTCTGACTCCGGCTCAGGTCATGACCTCACGGTTCATGAGTTCGAGCCCCGCGTCGGGCTCTGTGCTGATGACTCAGCCTGGAGCCTGCTTCGGATTCTGTGTCTTCCTCTCTCTCTCTGCCCCTCCCCGTCTTGTGCTCTGTCTCTCTTTCTCTCTCTCAAAAATAAACATAAGTAGCAACAGAAAAGTAAAACATGGGATGCAGCTGGAAAGAATTTCTTTGTGTGTGTGTGTGTGTGTGTGTTTATTTTTGAGAGAGAGACAAGGAAGGAAGGAAGGGAGGAAGGGAGGGGGAAAATCCCACAGTTGGGAACCAGATGGGTCGTCTTCCTGGGACCACGAGGCGGAGAGCAACTCAGATCCCTCCTGGGTTGAGTAGTGTCTTCCCCAAAATTCACGCCTGCAGAACCTCAGAGTAGGACCTGACTTGGAAATAGGGTCTTTGTAGATGCCATTAAGACGATTCGAACTAAAATGTAGTTCCAACGCGGTCACACTGGGTTTCTCTCCTATTCGACTCTATTCTACTCTACGTTTTTCTGTTTTTTTCCCCCACTGGATTTTTAGAGTGGGCCCTAATCCAGCGACCGCTACTCGTATCAGAACTGGGAGCTTTGGACACAGCTGCCCACACCGAGGAAGGAGGCTGTGTGACCACAGAGACAGACATCAGGGTGGCAGTGCCTGCCAAGGAACGTGGAGACAAGGCACGGGAGGGGTTCTCCCCCGGGGCCTCCAGAGGGAGCATGTCATCGAGGACTTCTGGCTTCCGGAATTAAGAGAAAATAGATTTCTGAGCCCCTCACTGTGTGGTGATGTGTAGGGCACCCCTAGGGAGCTAATACAGCACCCCATTCCGGCTGGACCAGCTTCTGCGACCTGTCAGTGTTCTTCCTGGCTTATGCATTCCCCCGCTGTTCCTCTTCATCCACTGGACCATCCACCGGGAGGAGCTTGGAGACTGGCCGGGAAGGTAAGCAGGGACCCGGCCAATCAAAGAACGTGAGGCCAGTGCAGACGGCCAGCGGACAGTTCTTTCCGGCCACTGACAGTTCCCAAACACGCCTGCACCTTCTCTGCACGTCCCCATCAAGAAGGGCACTCTAGGGGCACCTGGGTGGCTCAGTCGGTTAAGCGTCCGACTTGGGCTCAGGTCATGATCTCAGGGTTCGTGGGTTCGAGCCCTGCGTCGGGCTCTGTGCTGACAGCTCAGGGCCTGGAGCCGGCTTCAGGTTCTATGTCTCCCGCGCTCTCTGCCCCCACCCCCACTCATACTCTTTCTCCCTCTGCCCCTCAAAAATAGAGAAACGTTTAAAAAACATTTTTTACGGACTTCAAGTGGTACTACAAAGCTGTAGTCATCAAGACAGTATGGTACTGGCACAAAAACAGACACTGAGATCAATGGAACAGAATAGAGAGCCCAGGAATGGACCCACAAACGTCTGGCCAACTCATCCTGACAAAGCAGGAAGGAATATCCAGTGGAAGAAAGACAGTCTCTCTATTCAGCAAGTGGTGCTGGGAAAACTGGACAGCGACACGCAGAAGAATGAACCTGGACCACTTTCTTAAAGCAGACACAAAAATAAACTCAAAATGGGGCGCCTGGGTGGCGCAGTCGGTTAAGCGTCCGACTTCAGCCAGGTCACGATCTCGCGGTCCGGGAGTTCGAGCCCCGCGTCGGGCTCTGGGCTGATGGCTCAGAGCCTGGAGCCTGTTTCCGATTCTGTGTCTCCCTCTCTCTCTGCCCCTCCCCTGTTCATGCTCTGTCTCTCTCTGTCCCAAAAATAAAATAAACGTTGAAAAAAAATAAACTCAAAATGGATGAAAGACCTCAATGTAAGACAGGAAGCCATCAGAACCCTCGAGGAGAAAGCAGGCAAAAACCTCTATGACCTTGGCCGCAGCAGCTTCTTACTCAACACGTCTCCGGAGGCAAGGGAAACAAAAGCAAAGATGAACTATTGGGACCTCATCAAAATCAAAGTCTTCTGCACAGCGAAGGAAACAATCAGCAAAACTAAATCAATGGAGTGAGAGAAGATGTTTGCAGACGACAGAGCCGATAAAGGGTTAGTACCCAAAATCTATAAAGAGCCTCTCAAACTCAACACCCAAGTAACAAATAATCCAGTGAAGAAATGGGCAAAAGACATGAATAGACACTTCTCCAAAGAAGACATCCAGATGGCCGACCGACAGGTGAAAAACTGCTCCACGTCACTCATCATCAGGGAAATACAAATCAAGACCACAAGGAGATACCACCTCACACCTGTCAGAATGGCTCACGTTAACAACTCCGGCAACAACAGATGTTGGTGAGGATGCGGGGAGAGAGGATCTCTTTTGCACTGCTGGTGGGAATGCAAGCTGGTGCAGCCACTCTGGAGAACAGTATGGAGGTTCCTCAAAAAAACTAAGAATAGAACTACCCTACGACCCAGCAATGGCACTGCTAGGCATTTATCCACGGGATACAGGTGTGCTCTTTCGAAGGGACACATGCACCCCTGTGTTTATAGCAGCACTATCGACAATAGCCAAAGGATGTCCATCGATGGGTGAACGGATAAAGAAGATCTGGTGTATATATACAATGGAGTATTACTCGGCCATCAAAAAGAATGAAATCTTGCCATCTGCGACTATGTGGATGGAACCGGAGGGTATTATTATGCTAAGTGAAATCAGTCAGTCAG